GAACATAGTATAAAATGTCTAACTGAGAGGTAGATTAAAAATGGTCAGTTAAACATATAAAGAAAAGTTAATAAACTTCTAATTTAGATAAAATAAGTATAAGAAAGAAATTATTATCGGCTTTCATGTTATTTATTATTTCTATTCTTGTTATAATCGCCCTCAGTCTTCGATACACTTCATTTTTGTTTCCATTCTTCAATAAAAAAAGATTTACAAGGATAAGTTAAATGTGAGGGGGGGGCGGAGAAAACAACTTGTAGAAACTTTAATTTTATTTTATTAAACAATACATTGATCAGTAAATTTTAGAAAGAAATGTATTCTCTATTAGTATAATTCATACTTTAATTAGAAGAACCGTATAAAATCAATAAGTTAATATGACTGCTTGAAAAAAAAACGCTACTGATAAACAAGGAATCATCATTATTTAGTTGGATAACTTGTAAAAGTCAATTCAATTTGTAATAGACGTTAGTTGTAAAATACTGTAAATAAAAAAATTCATCATTCTCGTTTGAGTTCTAGTAATACACACCCCTAAAAATCCCATATGAAGTAGAACAAAGGACCTTTAGTGATCCGTATGAATACAATATTCTTAGATAATTTTTATATATAATACATAATATGATCAATGGAAATTACTTTATTGATTTCTTAATAAATATAGATAATCATTCTACTTATGACAAATATTATATAAATGATAATATGAATTAATTAAATTTAGTAAAATTTTATTGATTTTTAAAGAAAGAAAAAATACCAACAACTTCCATTGAATGTTTAATAATAATTACAAAATCAATATTAGAAATACCGGTCGTAATTAATAAATTTGAAATGATATTGATAAAATGCTTATTAGTTTAAATGCTGGAAGGAGACAATTAAAAGGTAATAAACAGAATGAATAAACTAATAAATATAATCATTTCTCTATGAATGATCATTTCACTGAGTTTTATTTATTAAAACTAAAAGGTTAACAATTATTTTAGTAAACTGAATCCATCCACTATGACAGTAAATAAGAAAGATTGGTTTAATGAAGTGTTCGCTTTGTTGAAAAGAAAAAAAAAGATTGCTTTATCATTATTTGATTTACAATAAGATATTTTCGATGTGAAATAGATAGAGATTTTCTTTTATCATCTAATATATGGTATTATTATAAGTTTAATAGTCAATCAATTATTCAGTTACAATATGGGACCAGACACATATGTGCATTGGTACAAGTTGCCATATCTCATTAGCACAACAAGATGAACATCAAATTCATAGAATTAGTCACTTTAGTGGTTCTAATGTATAAAAGAAAGATTGTGTATAAGAATAACTAGTAAATGCGTAAATCTCATCAAAATAAATCCGTAGTAAATCATGAATAAACTTTACAAAATAATAAGAATTTGGTTAGCTTGAATAACTAATAAAAGTTTACTTAAGATGTTGAAGCAAAACTGGCACTACATTTATCTACATAACCTATTCACTATGATGAATAAAGAAAGTCTGTGATAAATAACTTATTTATTTTCTGAAGAAGTGACTTACACTGAATCACGAAACGTCACAAAATCTAATTTTTCTATTCATTAGAATATTATAAATATATTAATTATTTATTTATAACAATCTACCCAATGCCTAAATTATTCGAAATTATTAAGTCAAACCTTGGTAATAAAACGCACAAACTTAACAACTCTTGTAGATGCATGTCAATTCAAATTTCCACTTGATATTAACTAGAAGTAATATCAGTATTTATGATTGTGCAAAAAAGGCTAAAAATACAAAAACCGTTTTTAGAAAAAAAGGGATGTGTTTACGGAATAGAAAGTATGGAATAGTATTAGAACTCTGTGTCTGCTGGTAGTAATATAAATAATGCATCAAAACCGATGTGATTTATTTTACATAGTGTTACCTATAGTGACCAGTCAGTGATAACTATTCAGAGTGCCCATATCAGATAGTCTGGATCTATCAGCAATTAACCGACTAATAGTCAGGGACTTTATGGATTATTGCAAAGACTGATTTCGACAGAACGAGCATTTTTTCAACGTACTTTTACAACATTTGATATCATGTGCCAAGAAAGGAGTTGATCAGGCATATGTTACAAATGACTCAGGTGTCTAATAATATAGAGACGCACAGATACTACCTAGTCATGTGGGAAAAGATGATTAAATATATTTCCTATTACACATAAAAACTATTCGCAGAATATGTTTTAAAACAGAACTAGTATTCAATAAAAATGAATATTCAATTAGCTGCCTCTTGTCCAGTTGTTAAGTGGATGTTACCATTGATAATAATTAAAAATGAAAGAAAAACAAGTGGACTTATTCCCATAGAAGATGCCAAAGATGACTATATTTTAAATTGTCCTCTAGTTCATAATTATTCATTTGTAAACATTTTTAACATACATAAAGAATATATATAGACTTTTCCTTTTATTCACTATAAAATTACTATGTGATTAGTTGACAATTAGACTGTTAAACAAATGAATAAAGTTATGAAATGACGCTAATTAAAATTTATCACTCAATCATCAATTTGATAATTATTTAAAAGAATAACACAATAATAAACTATTGGTTTTGATAAGTATCATTACCAAGGTTTGATTTGATAATTTCAAATAAATTCAGTATTAGGTAGATTATTGTAAATAAAAATAATACATTTGTAATATCCTAATGAGTAGGGAAATTAGTTTTACAAATTTTCCGACGTTTCGCAATTCAGTGTAAGGCGTTTCTTTAGAGAATGAATAACCAAGTTAAATTAATCTAAGTTTAAAGAATACTATTTAGTACTAGTATCATAGCATTATTTATTCTTGAGTTGATTTAATTTAGTTATTTATTCCCCGAAGAAGTGCCTTACACTCAGTTGTGAAACGTTAGAAAATTTAATTCTTCTATTCATTAGGATATTACAAATATATTATTTTTTATTTATATTGGTTTCAATATTTAACTGACCAAATCTAAAAATATTTTTAATTGGTTACTAGGAAATCAAAAAAATAATGTTTCAAATTTTGATTAATAATTAAAAGGAAACTGACAATTTTGTTTAAACAACTAACTTTCGGCTATCAGATTGAATCTCATTCTTCTTAATAAAGTCAAATCAAGTGAAATATAACATTAGCTATTACTACTACTACTACTACTACTACTGGATAGAATAGACTAATTGTGACTAGCAGTGAAATTTAGGGTAACTGTTTCGTCCTATTTGAGGCTTGTATCCTAAAAGCAGTCACTGTTAAATGCCTGGATGTCAACAAAAATTGGTCAAAAATTCCGTCAAAAATATCAACAACGGGATCACTGAATGATATAAAAACTATTATTACAGACGTGAATAAAGAACTGTAATAATAATATGAATAGGGATAAATGGATGCATTTTTGATAGTGCTGAATTAACTAATCACAATGGTAGGGCTTTGATCCTATCAATGCTGAACATTAAACACTACTAGTAGATAAATACTTCTCCATTGAAAGTCAATCAACTAAATTTCCTGCATTATTTCACACTGTAATTCTATTTTCATTTTACATTTTATTTTAATATTATATTCGTTGAACAACTATTACATAGACGTAATTAGCCATAGAGTACTACTAATAATAATATGTGAATAACATAATCAACTTATTAACCAGTCTATTAATTCTCGAATCAGTTAGATTGTTTGCAATAAATTTGTCTCAACTAATATTACACTTTAGATTTATTGAAAATAAATTGGAGACATTGTCAAATATATTTAACAAATGAGATTGTTAGTAATGTAGACTTAAAAGAAACGGAAAAGAGGAAGGTCAAAAGACGCACTGCTTCAAGAATTGGAAGCAGACATGAAAAGGATGAATAGCAACTGGAACCGACTGCAAATGATTGTCCAGGACAGAGTTAAATAGAGAATGCTTCTAAGCGACGTATACTCCTCATTGAGGAGTAACAGACGCAAGTAAGTCAGTACCAACATTAGTTTGAGTTTTAAATACTTTACTCCAATAATTAACAAATGAATATAAATAATGACAGTTAGCTTAAGTTCTAAAATTAAATTCTCCCGGAAATTGCAATTTCATCCTCAATATTAACAATCATAGATTTGAACATGGTATCAATTGTGAACATAATATCTCCAAACTCACAGTCATTTACTCGTTCTGTGCACTAAAAACTCCGGATTATTTGTTTAAACATTCTAACTTCACTCTGTTGTGTATGATAAATTAGAATAGCACTATCACCTTTTTAAACAATTTAGATGTATCATGAAATTCACTAATTAGATGCAAATCTAGGGTCAATTATTCTGAATGTTAGAACTGTATTCATTCACAAAATTTAGCTCTCATTCGAAATGTAACAGAATGAAATAGGTATTCTAAATCATCGTTTATTACCTTGTTAAATCAAGAAATAATCACTAAAATTGTGAAGGCGTCCATACAAACAGTCCATAAGCAAATGGAACTTTCTCATTTTAATTTTATGTAAATAAATATATTTAGATTATTTATTAACAAGAAAAACTATCACTTGTGACATAATATACTTCAGTCATCATAGAACATCTTCCAAAACGAAATCTTTTAGTTGATTAAAGATCACTGTTTCAGGAAGACAAACTATAAGTAAATCTAATCAAAGTTCTATCAGTAGGTTACAGGTTCAACATTCAGTTAAGTAATTTCATCAAACTGGTTGGGTTTTTTTAATTCAAAAATTTTATTAATGACTCACAAACAATCTATTTACCTTCATTTTTATATTTGGACAAAATATATGGATCACCATAAGTGGTTTTATAAACAAGACGGTAATAAATAACATCATAATATATCGATTGTAATGTAAAATTATTTACCAAACTGCCATGTACTTTTGATTCAAAATAATACCAATAATAATAATTTTTTTAAAAAACAACTTACTGCAATAATGAAAAATGGTAACCAGCATAAACAAAAACATCCCATAATAATTCCAAGTGTTTTAACAGCTTTTGATTCATTTTGATGACGTGAATTACGTTTTTTCACCGGTGGCAATTTAGGACACACCCAATTTGAACTAACTAAACTTCCTGGTTGATTAGCCATGATAAAATTTTCTGTCTGATTAGAACTGAAAGACATTTGATGTATATTGATGTGATTAAATTTCCCGGTATTATTATTATTATTATCATTGGTAGTCATTGTATTTTCGTTATCGTTTGTAATTGTAGTAGTGGTTGTAGCTGTCCGGGTATTTGTAAACAAACCCAAAGAGTTTTGTGCATCTTTTTTGACATTGCGATGAATAATATGATTCCAAGGAAAATTATGTGATGTAGAGGGTGAACTACATCGTCGATCAATTGCATAATTAGGTAAATCTAATAGAAATGGACGATTTATGGGTATATATTCATTGGCTGTAGTAAATGATCTTCTTGGTGTATGAAATGGCCTCTGTCGTGGGCGTGCCGGATGCATTGTAGTAAATTTAGGTCCAATTAACGGTGTACCAAATGATGATGGATAGTAAAAATCACCAATACCTGGAGTAAATGGCATACCAGTACTACTAACCATTAATGGAGTAGTTTCTTGTGATGTTAACATTAAATTACTACTATATTCCTCAAGGTTATTTTTATTATCATCTCTCTGATTATCACTAGAAGTATATGGATTTGGTGCAACCTCAGAAATCTGTGTTAAGCTGTTCATATAACTAGATCCATCAAAATAATGTGATACTGATAAGAAAGGTGGTGAAAATACTGAATTTCTCGATCGGTTAGAATCAGTTAATAATAGAGACTTATTTTTAGGTATCAATGTCACCGGTTGTTGTTGTTGTAAACTACTATTATTATTATAAGTAAAAGTATTTAAAGATGATAAATTTTCATTCTCTTTCTGATCATTACGATTTTTTAATTGTGTTATATTAATAGTAATCGAATGTCGTGTATATGGTGCAGCGAAAAATTCCGCTCTTAACTGCTTCAATTCTTTAACATGTTGTTCAAATTGTTCAATAGACGACAACGTAGATGAGCATTCCGAAGTACCAGTTGGTTTTTTCACATTCTTTACATTATTATCCAATGATTTTTTAATAAGGAGTTCATCACCATAACTAAGTCTTCTCAGTGGACGTGGTTTACGCCGTCGACATAATTCTGATGGCGGTAAAGGATATTTCTCTTTCTTAGCGTTATTCTGTTCATTATTAGGCGGTAATAGTACATCAGATTTGTTTTCGACCGTGTTGGTTGTTGTGGCAGTTGTGTGTTTTAATTTTTGCATATGTTCAAATTTCAATTGTTCTGGTGGTTCACTTTCCAAGGAACTATGTGCATTAGTTTGTGTAACCGATTCCGCAACACGTTGTTGTTTAGCATCAGCATGTGCCATATTACGCGCTAATATAAGTATACGTCCATATAATATTAGCATCACAATTAATGGAATATAAAATGCACCACATGTAGCATAGGTTTGATAAATAATATTTGAACTATATTCACATAAACCAGTAACAAATGGTTCTTTAAATCCAAACATTGGTGGTATACTAATCAATGCCGAAAATAACCATACTAATAATATCATTATCATCATACGCTTTGGTGTACGTTTCGCTGCATAACGTAATGGACGAGTAATTGCTAAATATCGATCAATCGATATAGCGCATAAATTTAAAATTGACGCTGTACACATTAATACATCAAATGAAATAAACATATCACACATACCTTCACCAAATGGCCAATAACCATATAATTCACGTAATGTAGCTAATGGTTGAACTAATAAACCAACTAATAAATCACTTACAGCTAAGCTAACAATTAAAAAATTACTTGGTGTACGTAATTTTTTTACTAATCCAATAGCTAGAACTACTAAAAGATTACCAATAACTGTACAAATACTGCAAATAGTTAGAAATATACCAATTATAATCATTGTGTTTACAAATGGTGTTGAAAATAACAATTCTTTACTTTTATTCATACTAGTATTATTATTATTATTAGTAGTAGTAGTAATAAAAGAAGTATTATCCTCAATTGGTATCATTATTGTTTTCTTATTTATTGATTTTGATCAATATTTGATTATGTTTATGTTAGTTAAAATTGTTTCATTTTATATTTTATAATTAAATTTCTATTTTATCACTGCTTATTTTATTTATTTAACTTTTATTTTATAATTCATGGTTAATTTCCAATATTTTATTGTATTTACAAATAGTATCCATATACTTTTTCATAGTATTATAGGCTTAATAATAATAACAGTTATTATTATTATTATTATTATAGATAAGATCAAATTACATTCTGCATGAGTTATAGTACGTGTATATGTATAGGTATATAAATATGTATCAAGATGTATTTAAAATCTCATATTATTGGACATTGACAATGATTAAATAAATTGGGAATAAATGTTTTAACATTATAAACATTCTCATTACAATGATCCATGGTTAAAAATGATCAACGTTTTTTTGAACCATTATAGATCTGTAGAATGACAATTTAATTAACATAACATATAAATACATATATAGTTACGGATATACACATACATACACTAAATAATAATTATTATTCGTCTATTGAAAAAATAATGAAAAAGTATTTGTAAATTTCATTGGCCAGACTAATCTATTTGTATGTCTGATAGAAACACGTGAGTATAGAATTTATGGTATAGATCTAATTCATATTGTAGTTCTGTGTATGGTACTAAATATTGTCTAAATCATAAATCATCTATTTCATTAAGAAGTTTATATACATACAGAAAATAACTTTTTTGGTATAAATAATTTTTTTTACTATTTATTACAGAAATATGTATATGTAAAATGTATGTGTTACATTGGTTGTTCTCTTGTTCTTTGAAAGCTTCAAGTTTCTTATAAGAAATGTACTTTTGTACTTTATATATGAAGTATGTCTACAGGGTATATGTATATATATATATATGATTTATAAAAACTCAAAAATACGAACACAGTAACCAATTTCACTTACATGATGTTCATATAAGTTGGGAAAATCTATCAACAAATTATCATCACTCTTTCTATTTACTTGGTATTGTTTGCTTGTATCTTTCTATGTTATTATTATCATTAGTAGTAGTAGTATTACACACATGACATACAAATACACATTTACTGACCAAAAATATCAGTCTTGTGTATGGGTGTGTGTTTATATGTACCAGGAAACTTTATTTGTTGGAATAGAAAAAAAACTTTTTTTGAAGAGTTTTTAAAATTACATATCATGTTGATTGAGAGTTTTAAGGAAACACTCAAAAATCTATTTCAATCAATGAGTTTAAATATTTTCAATTCATATTACATATAATAAATAAGTTTAAATAAATGTAATGTCTAGTTCATTTCCTTGGTAAAGATGCTACGGTTAAGATTAAACATCTGTCTACAACATATATAAATATATATAATTATCATTATTATTTAGGGCATTAGATATAGACTCTACAGAATTGCCTGAAAAAAAAAGGAATTTATTAACAAACGATGTAGTTATTCATATCGTAAATTTGAGGTTTTTTAATCTGTTGCTTGATTCAAACTCTTTAAGGCAGCACTACTGTGGTGTACGTTACTGATGTCAACAAATATAATTTCCATGTATCGCAAATTGAAAGTGGAACGCCTGGTGGCAGAAGGTTGAGAAAATCGCAGAGAATGAGAACAGAGTGTGATTGGTATAGAAACGAAGGAGCAACAACGTCTGAGATAATTGATGGATATTTTGCAAATGAAGTATTTACTGTATGGTTCTCAAATTTTAGCAAGATATTCTGTAGTGTATTAAGGTACATTTAGTTGTCCCCTTCTGTGTTCTCGTTCACTACAATATTACTACTGCTACTAAATCTTTATCACAAATTTTGTGAGCAAACTACTTTTATTGGTATATAAGTTTTCGAATTAAATTTGCTTTATTTATCAAGGTTTTCTCTTATTTGATTTGGGTCAAAAATATCGAAAAGCCTGAATTTGCACACAATATTCATTGTGTTGTGTTCAGAATTTTTGATTATTTTCCCATTTCTTTAGAATTTACTATGTATCTGAATGTAGTTGTCACAAAATATTTCAACTAATAACTGTATTTAGGCTTTTTATCGATGACATTGGGTCGAGTTACACTGCAAATGTACATAAAAGAGATTTACAGAAAATTCCTTATCAATAAACTAAAGGAAAATATATTTTATTTAGCTACATATTTTCTGTCAAATTAAGAATATCAGTATAGGTATTGTGGATGTTATTAAGTTTTTGGATTGAGATCATGAACCGACTGATGTTAGACCGAAATTGAAATCCTGGAAACACTGGATTGCTGTTTCGTCCTATTGTGGTACTGATCATCAGTGACCGGTGGAGCTAATCCGTGTCGTGTAAAGACAGGTATCTACCTCAGTACAATAGGTGGTCACGCAATTTCGTGGATTAGTTGAGGCTGGACATTAACACCACTGGATGCCGGCTCAGTGGTCCAGTAGGTTAAGCGTTCGCGCGCGCGACTAAAGGCCCTGGGTTTGAATCCCACGAATCGGGATCGTGGATACGCACGGCTGAGGAGTCCTACTATAGAACGAAACGGCCGTCCAATGCTTCCCGGTTTTCAATGGTGGTCTAACATTAATCGGTTCATGATCTCAAAAAAAATTAAGAATAGACAAGGAGATAAGTAAATATAGTAACTACTAGAAATCCAATCATTGGCCTAATTTTAATATTTTCACATGAAAATTAGACATAGCCTTTGGTGAAGATAAGGCAGACAGAAAAAAGAATTCAGAGTCATAATTATTTATTTACAAGTAAACAGTGTAGGCATATTATAAACATCTACCAAGATAGTTTATAACAATAACAAAACACAATAAGTAAGATACAAACTATGCATAGACTGTTGATCATAGGTGTAATATATATATATATATATATATATATATATATATATATATATATATATATATATATATATATATATAAGAGGGGCTAATAATTCTATCTGGTTACGTGAGTTTTAAAAGAGATTTCTGACTGGATTTTAAAATTTGAATAAAAATCGAATGTGTAAATTATGAATAAATCAAAGTTATACAATTAATCATCAAAAATTTGTTTATTTTTAAAAGATAATATAAACATTAATTTGCATAATAAAACCTTCACAAATAAGAAAATTCAGAATAAATCAATCATGGTGTACAACATTTTGAAAAAAAAATAATAAAACCTCACTTAGAAATAAGTGAACTAATTAGATTAGTGCTAGATGTGATTAGAGTATTTGTCGACAATATGATATACTTCAATGAATATATATGTAATGAAATGTTTATTATTTTTTTCTTACATAACAGAGTAACTGTGACTGAAATGTTGTCATTATTAATTATTATCAAAGTTTATTTCAGTATTGAAATCTATAAAACATCAGACAAGTTAGACTGAGGGTCAAATACACAACTACAGGATAAAAGGTTTTGATCGGATTTTATAAGTGGGTAAATGAAGATTATTATTAATGAGACTAAAGTAGATTGAATAATAATAATAAGAGTCTCTGGTTGAAATCATGAATCCATTGAAGCTAGACCACCATGGAAAACCTGGAAGCACTGGACGGCCGTTTCGTCCTAGTATGGGACTCCTCAGCAGTGCGCATCCACGATCCCGCTCCTCGCGAGATTCGAACCCAGGACCTATCAGTCTCGCGCCAGGCGCTTAACCAACTAGACCACTGAGCCGGCATCCAACGGTGTTAATGTCTAACTTCAACCAATCCACAAAGTTGCGCCACCGTACACCATTGTCTTCAGTGAGCTGATATCTCACAACAGACCTGGTTGAGAATGAAATGATTGATTGTTTGTGGATTTAGAAAATTAAGGATAATATTATATGTAATTTAATCATGAGAAGGTAATAAATAGGTAACAAAACACCACAAAATAATAAATGAAGAATGATACAGAAATATAGATGGATCTAGAACTATGTCAAAAAAGAATTGTTTTCTGTATACTTATATCTGTCTCTATCACCAATATTTCTACGAAGAATAATTATATACGCTATCAGGCAGTCTCGTTATGTTCTTATAAATTATCATAAATCATGAGTTCGATACTGTGTGACTATGAGGTATTTTTTATATGAAAGGCCTATATGAACAACTCCATAGAAATAGGTGAATAAATAAACGTTTATGAAATTGCTTCAATGAGATAATTTGCTTTGTATACAAGTGTTCACCATTTAGATTTTAGTGTAGAGTATTCCCAGTGAAGGTTCATAAAATGTCGATCAAATATTTATATGGGATTATTTTAGAAATTATACACTTACATTCCAGACTGGTGTATATATTCTTTTTCAGTACAACTATAAATTTCAAATCACTCCTGATATATTTCACATATATCGTTATAAACTTTAGAGAATAACCGTCGTCAGTAAAATTAAGTTTAACATATATCAGTTACTCTTCTATTTTGTATTCTGTGTATATTTTTATGGTGCGAGAACTGAAGGAATAAACAAGATCTATTTTTTGTAAGTTTCATGTAAATCTCTCGTGGACAAGCCTCCCTAAATTCCCAACATAACTTCGTGTGGGTTAAATGTATAGAAACAGTATACTGGATTCTACTTTCTTTTCATAGTACATTGGATGAATGGGTGATGGTCATTAAAAGTTTTCAGTGAACCTTCAGTCACAACCACAAACGATAAATGTGCCATCAGCTTATTCCCTTAGTATCTTCTGTTGTCTTCTTAAGGGTCTGGTTATGAATACTTTCAAAACGAAGGTCACTAATACTGGGTCTAATGATGATCCTGTTGCAACACCATCTATCAATTGCAGAATTTGTTGTGTCTGAAATGTACAATCAAAGTGCATCTGAGAATTACATCGTCTGGATAAAATCTAGTTATTATCATATCCAATCCGTAAATTTAAATACAGCTCAAAATGAAGGAAACTAGTTTATTTAGTGGAAAGTTAATATATATATTATATATATTATTATAAGCTTTATTCAACATTATATTTTTGGTAAAATATTGAATTCTCAGCATAAAGTATTTCAACAAGTTTCCTTTTCTTATATCTTGATCGATCCTGACGATAAATATTGAGTGATGGCCAGTTAGATGTTAGGAGTTCGATAATCGACATCTGAATAATGTTCATTCGTTTCAATGCATATTGCAAACCACCATGATGTCGCTGATTGTACCTTTTTGTAATCCGTACAGCGAAAGATTAAAAACTTTTCATAAACGCGCCTGAATAGGTTGTGAGCTCAATAGACATAAAAGTGTTAAAACAAACAAGAAAACAGATAACTTGACGAAATATCTAGATGGGAGGAACAGGTAGCCCAGATATTGAAGCAGGCCGCCGATACGTAGAAAGGAGATCTATACTTTTAATGCACTCAATATATTCAGAAGAGCCCT